GTCAGGGAAAGAGAGTTGAAGGTCTTTGGGGTTGTGATGGTAGGAGGGTGGAGGCTGTGTTTGGCTCATTTGGTTGTTAACTAATTGGTGGTCGTTGGACTTTTTGGCGGAGACTTTTTTGTTCTTTCTGCAGCCTCCACCAACAGGGATGTTCCTCAGAGTGCCTCCTTTGGTCCAGTACCTTCTGCAGGTCTTGCAGAAGTACCTTGGCTGAGAGAGACTGTAATTGTTGTAGTAGCAGAACTTTGTGTGGGTTGAGTCACACCTGGGGCACTTTAGGGCTTGGTCATGTGGAGGTCTTAGCCTCCTCTCTATCATGGGCCTTGAGCATGTAAGCATGTCCCCTGATGGTGAAGAGGAAGAATCCATTCCAGACTCCTCGTGAATTGTGCCCTGACATTTCGCATAAAGCAAACAATTTAGTATATTGATTATATTTATAACCAAAGAAAAAATGTGGTGTTACGTACTGTAAAATTTGTCTTGTTCTTTTCATTCTTTTTGTTCTCTTCCTAATTTTCTTTTCCTTGGCTTTCTCTTCTTTTTTTCCCATTCCCTTTGAACCAAACACACTTCTATTGGGTCCAACTCACAATGCAAAGCAAAACAAAAAGGTTGCAGGGTGCAAGACACATTGCTAATTAGTATTTGACTAGCAAGCTAGCTTTAATCAACTAGAAACCCTGAACAACAAATAAAAACTTCTATTTTTACCGATGATTTGATTAATATATGAGTGAAATTATGAAGCATGATGGAGTTAATTAATTAAAAAATCTGATTAAATACAAATTCAGAAAGACATTCGAGAGTTTCTCGGTTGAAAATTATTATTTTTTATATATATCAAATTTTTTTCTAAACTTGTATTTAAACGTAGACTCACAGTATCAATGTGTTTTTCTCTTGAAATAAAGAAATGTGCATTGTGTATATACTATACCTGCAACCAATGATCTGATGAATCCATGCAGACGTGCAAAGAAGATAAACCCATTCACTGGTGATTGGAGATGATAACAGTGAAGCAGGACCTTAGCTTATGCTTGTTAAGCTAAAGTGGCAGTGGTAGTTGTAGTTTGTTTACGCAAGATGAAGAACATGAGTGGAAGGATGAGGAGAATAATGTTGTTAAGTGGGAATGAATTGAAGAGAGGGAATTAATTGTGGTGTGGTTGCTACATGGGACGGGACAGTGAATAAGAAGGAAGAAAAAGGTGAGGGTAGTGAGTGAGTCTGCGAGCTACAGTGTGTAAAACCCGTCGGTGACAACAATGGTGGGCCTCAACATGTCTCTCTAATGCCAATAGCTTATCTCAACTTGACTAAATCTCGAGTGACAGAATGGACGGTGGGATGGGGAGAGGGTGATGACGTGGAGGAATGGGGGGCGTTGATGGGTGTGAGATGAGATATAGGTGACGCTAGTCGTGTGTGACGTGACAGAAGCTTGAGAATATTTGGGTCCCCGATAAAGAAGGCATACCGAAAGAGCACTCTACGTTGCAAGCCCCACACACACTATTTTGGATTGGAGTTGGACCCACTCGACCTCCTCCCACAAGCAAGGGATATATTCTCGTTTCTCACACCATGCTTCACATCTTCATGTGCATGCCCTCTTTCTTTCCCT